TGTCCTCCCAGCAACCTGCAGAAGGTTGTCTCCCTCATACAGGTAGGCATTTGTTGAAAGCGTTCTGTTGTATGTGTATCTGTGTGTTCCCTTGATTTTGCACTATACAAACATGTGCTCCAATTCACTTATCGTACATTCATATTTTTTATGAATAGGACTGCTTCCCAGCTAGGTTCAAAGCAATCCACATCATCAATGAACCAGCTATATTCGGAATGCTCTTCAGCATTGTCAGGAGATTCCTGAACGAGAAGCTCCAACAAAGGGTACGTGCCAGAAAGAACAAAGCACATATAAAATTTGCTGTAATTAAATATTTTTCCAAAATCTTGTATAATAATGTGAACATTAGAACATATGTAAATATATGTACTTTGTCAAATGCAAGTTGAAAAGAAAATGAAAGAGAAATAAATAAAAAAAGAGACTGGGAGTTTAACCAAGTTGAAGAACCAGTTTGCTACCCTGGACAACACAAATGCCGTTTGAAAGCACTGTACTTTATCCAAACAAAGGGGTTAGCATTGCGCCAGCTTTACAGTATCATTGTGGGCCAATTTTTTTTTCCATGTAGTAGAAATGTGTTCCCAACACTAGTAATCTTCAGTTTTTGCTTTATCAGCTCTTATGTTTGTGAAACAAAAACATATTGTCCTATTTTTGATTGGGAATGTGTGTAACACAAGTCGTACCACTGTGCGAGACTTTAGTTAGAATTACCATTCTTTTATAGAATGTCTACTCTACCCAAACTGATGCCATGTGGGGGGATATAAGTATGCAGGCTATGGCAACTGGCATTGTCATCAATAGTCATAAAATTTAACCATCATTGATTTAACTGTTCAGAAGGCTATACCTTGATTTCACTAGGATGCATGTCAAATTTTGTACTTCTGAGTCAATTATCCTCCCTCCCCCAGAAATTGTAAGTGGAACATTATGTAGGACGACCCAGGTGCTGGTACAGTGGCATTTCATTTTACTGTGCAACTACATTCGGTGACAACTTTCTGATATTTCAGTCATTCCATTCATTTAAATATACTAGCATACTTACAATATTAACTACCATGCAATCTAGGATATTGGAGCAAGCTCTAGGTGTTCTCTAGTTAGCTTTTTTTTTTTGTCTGTTATAGCAAGGAAGGACACGAAATGATACTTTCACTGAGCCAGCATAAATTTAATGTAGAGCTTGCACTTGCCATATGGCAATGCATACTGTCGGAGCTCAAGTAAATAATCATAATTGTACGAGTTCAATAGTGGCCAGGAAATTAAAGAACTTTGAGCACAGCAGCAAAGAGCCAGACAAACAAGGGACAAGCTCAAGATAGAAGCACTAACTACAACAGTGCCTCACCCTAGTGAGGCACCGAACTCCTGCTCTCAACTCTTGCACAGCAAAAACTCTCTTTATTCGCAGGAAGAACACACAGCCTGCATTTATGGAAAGGCATCTGTTGCATTTGGCACTTCACGTTTCTTTATCTAGCCTGTTGTTCAGTTTTGTGATATGTTTTCTGCATTATTGTGAACCACCAACACAACCAATCATTCTCCTTCTGCGAACAGCTAAAGGTTTGTGCATTGTATGTAACCAAGTATGAGAGGTCTGCTCAAGTTGGTCGGGTTATTTTCAATAAGCCTACAATTCGAGAATTGTCCATTCTGCATTATTTTGTCCTTACAGTTAAGCTATCCCAGTGCAATGCATTACCAGTCAATCCATGTAGTTAGCAAGTCTATTTTATTTGTCGCTAGTAAATTCTAGCTTTGTGAAATGGAAAGCTTGCATTCACAAAAGTCCAAGGAGTCAATAAAATACCAACGACGGGGTTCAATTAGCAAATGGCCGCTGCACCCATAGAGGTACGTCGAGTACGTGTAATGGTCCGGGCGTGACACACAGTTGGGAACAGTCGGAGGTAGTCTAACACTGTTCCCAACTTGTTCCAGCCTGTATACACGAGAGGAAAAATCGGGGTACAACCCAAGAGACACTCAACCCATGCAATGGACCACAACTCCCCTTATCGGCTCCCGGCTCTCCTTTTGAAGTCGTTTGGGAGCCCAAATAGACGTCTCGGTGTATAGGTGTTCTGTGACGTCTCGGTGTGTTTCGAGAACACGTGTTCGAGAATGTCTCAGGAGTAGCCCTCTCTATCCGGTGGACATGTAACCATTCTTTCTTTCTTTAAAACCTAGGTGGCGTAAGCTGTGTCGTGTATTTTTTTATATAAACATTATATGGCCCTGGCTGCGCTATAGACTGCATGCATCATGCATCTGTTAATTGTAACCTTGCTGCAGTTGCAATAGAAATCGAAATTACTGGCCCTTACTTGTACATCACATTATGGGGGTTATTGTGGTTCAACAACCTGACTGTATTTACAGCTACGCAATGCGGAGTATCATATAATCAAGGTACATGGCTCACTTTGCTAGGTCAACACAAGGTGGCCCATGACAGACCACTGTGCCCCACACATTTTGATCAGTGTGTTTTTCACACAATTTTCGTCTTTCCTTAGATACACTTTCACGGATGTGACACAGCATCCCTGCACAAGTTTGTACCCCCCGAGATATTACCTGAAGAGTACGGAGGCTTCAGTGGCCCCATGGATAACTCTGCATTCGTGGCTCGCATGTACAAGAATGATGAAGTCTTCAAAAAGGATGCTGAATATGGCTTCAAGACCAGGATCAAGGGATAATTCTCTGCTTGATAGCCAATGTCTTTGCCCTACAATGTAGGATGACATTGCTGCTTTTTAGTTCTGACAGCGCTTTTTAAGTGGGATGACAGGTAGTCCACGTATTTATTTGATGTGTGTGATAAGCTAGCTTCCTTTGTACAAATCTGTTAGTGAAATAAATGTGACCCTCGGCTGCTGTGCAAGCTCTGAACTGTCCTGGCAAATTTTTTGAACATCATTGTCATGATCTGTATGGATCATAAATCTGATCAGTTCTTTAAAATCTTACCAGCAAGAAACATAATACAGTGCATATGCATCTATGTCGAGATTTGGCAAACTGGTGTTTCTTGGCATAGCCTGACAAGGTGGGTACATTTTCTTTTATTGATAGGTTGAAACCTCTTAGAAGCAGCATAACTTAGCGTGGTGCAACTTGTGAAAAGATTTGGGGCTTTACGCAATCTCTGCATGCCTTGGATTAGTACTGAAATTTCATAACTTACTAAGTCAAATGAGTACAAGGCTAGCACGAGTTGCCACAGAGGATAAACAAACATGGACTGCTCTGCACAGGTAGCATTCTCTGTGCGCTTTATTCTTAATCCGAAATATGCTGCATTTGTTCACTTAAAGGAGCCAACACAAAGCCGAGGCCAACAAAGACCAAAGATCTATGAATGCATGTGCCACTCCTTCAACACTACTTTGCTTTGATCAGTGGCACGAGTATGCCACAAGTGATTGTGCCTATAGTCTGATAAAACTATAGAAGTCTCTGTCATTTCCTCCTCGAAGGTGCATACAAATAAGCTTGCACCTGCATGTGAACACTCCAGACTGACATGAGCCGGACAACTGTTGACTGCAGTTGGAGAACATAGCATTGTGTGTGAGCAGGATCATTTCTTAGTCAAGGAGGCAGTCGGGTGTCTCAATTCGGCTGTCTAGGGGGGGCCTGAAGTTGTACCGGGCTGCATTTCATTTGTACATGCAATGAGCCTATCGCCTACTATAGACGGTATAGGTTCGCAAACTCGCTCGCGAGTCGATTCACTCGGATTCCCTCAGACTTGGATAAAATGGAGTCTGGGTGAGCAGTCTTTTGCTGAGCTCGAGTTCGAGTTAGTCCGGCTGAAGAAAATTTTCCTGAGTGAGAGTCTAAGCGAGTCAAAAGTGCAAGATACATTTCTTGAGCCAGTTCCACTTATGTTTGATGACCTATGGTTCTGTAATCTTCAGCATTACTGCGAGTCTTACCGGGCCTCGCGTTTATACTCTGCATGTGTTCCTAAGCAGTATTGTTCCTACATAATTTCAATATTTATTGATCAGACGCGTCAATTATGTAGTAGGGTGCCTTGAACTCTCCCTCCGCCAACTCTTGCTGAGAAGTTCGTGATAAATATATCTTGTGTTCTCTTTTAAGAAAAATGTCCTCACTGGTTTGCGACCACTCGTAACGCATAGTTGACGGTACGATATCAAAAGGTGTCAAGACGAGCACAGAACATGTGAAATATCCCTGTTAAAAAGCATTGACACAACAGTCAAGAATAATGGACTTCAGAGTCAACTCGGCCTGACTCGCTAAAACTTTGATCGAGCAGTTAGTCGGAGTCAATACGGGCGAGTAATAGTTTGGCGAGTTTGAGTCCGAAATTGCCAGATTGAAGAAAATTTGTGAGCGCAAGTCGAAGCGAGTTCAACTCGGGAAAATTTTTAAGAGACCAATCGAGCCATAAGCACAAACAATATATTTCATAAGCGAGTTTGAGTGAGCTTCATAATTGTTGCAGTCCTTTGATAGCATGCAAAACATCAGATTCGTTCATCGAATGATATGTATCCGCCGTGTACATATATGGATATGTCTATATCTTTCCAAATCTGAGCCACCTTCGTAAATCCAGCCTTTCGTAACTGTTCACTGCAGGACAACACATTGAAGCGGCAATATCCTTGGTCCAATAACCATGTCATAAGCACAATTAAACTAATAAAACAAACTTTCTTCTCCTCTTAGTTTCACATTTGGTGTGCCTGCTTCGTTGGTCTCAACTGCGAAGTGCAGTTCATCGTTGCACTACATTCACAACAGGCTCGCTCCAGTCCCAGTCAGCACTTGCAGCGTCTCATCAAACTGCTGATCCACGAGACAATACAGTATTACTCAAACTGGTGTGGCCAAGGGACACTTGCCTACCTGATATCTTGCAAACTATATGCATGCAATATCTGAAGTTCAGTGAACCAAATTTTCTCCTTTGATTTCTATAAGATGGATGCTTCATGACATACACCATATTTTTATTTGTCTATATGGAACTGTTGTCACACAATTGGACCCCCTTATAAAAATAAACACCTGAGGCCGCAGCTGTCCAATGTTATTACTATAGAACAGCATGAACAATCACAGTTGTAAAGATGCAACACACTACCGAAACCATAATTTCTTTGATTACTTCACTGAAGTGGCTTTTTCACACACGGTCGATTTAGAACATACTGCTTGACTAGTCTTCAGTATGCACTGATTTGACTAATCCAGACTGCACACCTTCAGGCAGGGTTCACACATTTGTTGCAAAGCCCGTCCCTGGAGACGTGAAAGCGCCACACAAAAACTTAAGGCACATAAACATAACTTCTTTAGTCACTTTGTAAAATATCACCAAACCACAACACCGACACACCAAAAGTAAGTGGAAGAATTATCGCAATGTAGGCAACCACAACTAAGCCTTCCCGTCGGTTAGCAAGAAGCTCATGTCTGTTCCAGGCTTGTAGTAAACTGGATCTGCGTTCTCCTTGAACAATTTCGCCTCGTTTCCCAGCAGTACAGCGTTGTTGCCCTCGACCTTCAGTATGGCGCCCTCTTTCAATCCCAGCACAGGCAAGCGGTTGCCCACTTCGAGGTACTCTTCGATCCTCTGGTCCCTCGTCTCACCCATGTGCTTGCTGTCAGAGTCGGTTTCGATGTAGTGCGGGTTGATGTTGAACGGCACGAGACGCAGTGCTACGAACGTCGGCGGGTAAAAGATCGGCATGTCGTTCGTAGTGCAAATGTTGGCCGTGGCAACGTTGGTACCTGCACTAGCGCCCATGTAAGGCATCCCGTCTACCAGGCACCTGTTGCGAATCGCCTCAGCGGTGTTTGATTCGTAAAGCGTCTTCAGCAGGCGAAACGTGTTTCCGCCGCCGATGAATATGCCCTGTGCCATCTTCACAGCGCTTACCGGATCGGCGGCTTCGTGAATGCTGTCCACCTCGAAGCCCATTTCGCCTAGTCGAGCCTTCACTTTAGCTGCGTAGTCTGCGTAATCCTTGCGCGCGTAAGGCACGAACAGAATTCGCTTGGCCGCCGACTTCTTGAAGAAATCCTTGACGGTATCGGCGGCGAACTCGAGAAACTCTCCGTTGTACATGGTCGAATTTGACAGCAAGAGTAGCCTCCGTGGACCAGCCATCGAGGAGGATGACGATGAAGATGACATCTCACAGCAGTGCATGCAGTGGTGTCCGTTAAAAGGGGGCGTACGGCGAGAACTATTGCAATAAATAGCTCAGGCGGAGATAAACGAGACGCCCCATAGAAGCGATTAGGGCGACCGGCGCCCCAAATCAACAGCTGCTCAAGAGCTGACCCTGCTAGCTCCACATAGTGTTGAAAAATGCAGATGTGGGAAGCGTCGCTATAACTCACTTTTCTTTCCAAAAGGAGCAGCACTGTCGCTTTTGCGACTGTCAAATCTCGAAGGCATAGAGTTAATATACAGTTAGTATATTAACTTAATGCTCGGAGGCAGGTTGGAAAAGTAAAAAGTGCGAAAACTTGTCGCTAGATGGCGCTAGCAGTTCATAATGTCTAGAGTTATAGAGCATTTTTAATAACATCTAAGGTCCCTAGGAGCCTTATTATACCCGTGCCACACGGGCATAGAAAATGACATTTGGTGGCGAAGGCCTTCAGTTCCCGAATGACATTCGTTTCGCCGGCGCTGCTACACGTCCAAAGCGAATGACATTTGACTTGATGATGTCGATCACAGCACCTTCCAAGTGAGCATTGAGTGAATAGCAATAAAAAAATTAAGAAGCATTTACAAGCTTCATACACATCAGATAATCATCAAATGTAGAAATAAGCGTATTACGCTGTCCTAAGTTTTAGTTTCTTGCTTTGTTTTACAACGTTGCAGCCGACCGTAGCAACCTAAGCCAACACTAGTCAGATCCACAGCGTAAATAGACACTAAAATTAGGGTGGCTAGAATGGGGAGGTGTGATGAGCGGGGCGCCTTTCGCTTGGCGGAGAGGGTCCTTCGGCGCGCCGATGCCGCTAGGGGCGCTGATGGCAGCGGCGCGGGTAGTGAGCGGCGCACTTCGCTGGGTTTGCTTCAGTCGCGCCATAATTTTTTTCGTTAGCAGTCGCACTGTCTTACAAGTATGTCGTCGATCGGTGATTGCGTTGAGTCTCTCTGAAATGTCCGAAGATGTCAACGACAAAAAAGAAGACGCAACGTTGGTGCTTTGTGCCTGGCTGCAACACTGGATATTATAATTCTTCAGGAGAGAAAGTTTCCCTTTTCCGAGCTCCCACGTGTAGTGTGCTGTTCGACAAATGGATTCGTGCTATTCCAAGAGCGGACAAACAGCTTGACGAGAACTCCGCAGTGTGCGAGAAGCACTTCGACCCAAGGTATGTACAAAAAATAGAAGGCACGGTGTTCGCACACCCGAGCAAGAGACCAATTTTGCTTACTTGCGTTCCACGTGTCACATGCTGCATTGCAACATAACCAATTGGCTGTCCTTTTCTCTTTTCTTTTTCACAGATTTGTCGTGCGTACGTTCAAACATAGGATTAATGGTGAAGATGTATACATGCCGCGCGCTGTGCCGACCTTAACAAATGACGCCGTGCCGACGATTTTTCCTAATTTGCCTAAATACTTGACGAAAGCTCTGCCCAAGGAGAGAAAGAGACGGAAAAGCGTGGCTGAAAGTGCTGTTTCGAGTAAAAGAATTAGTGTGAACCACGACAATGTCGAAGAAGGCTCAGCGATTGACCATGACGTGATCGTTTCAGAACAGAACGTCATGTTGACCGAACAGCTGCATTCCTTAAGTGCTATGCTTCACCGTCCTAGCGAGTTGTGGTCGATGCAGAAGTTCGAGCAAACGAATGCATTATGCTACCAGACCGCTAAATTGGACAGAGATTTAACACCTCCTGTTATTCACAACAAGATAGTGTTGTTTGAAGCTGAGGAAGGAGCAGCTGCTCAGTGCAGCATCTTTCTGAACGGGTTCCTATTCAAAAAAAGTGGCTGTCAGACAGTGAGCCAAGCACAGGATCTTCTCAAGTATGCAGACACATTGACACCCTGCGTAGGAATTGGGACAATGGAAGAGTTCCAACCACTGAATTTGGAAAGCAAGGCGAAGCTATCTCAAAATCGTGTCTTCTCCCTTTCTTGCGATGGTTCCTCATCGATTTCGCTACAAGGTATTATGAGATATCGCAGTTGCGCAAACCCTGCCTAAAATATTTTATTTGAGCCTGTAGATACCTGTCCCTGCTTTGGTTAGACTTATCCACCGATTATGGTACACTTTACAGATGGCTCATCTGGACGTTGTACTGCCTGCAGAAAATGCAGAAACCTTCTGAAGGCTCGTCTGCTCCGTCTAAAAAAAAAAAAGACTAAGCGGCCACTTGCAAGAACAGCTGCACAACGACTGAAATGGGCTGTTCGTACGTTGAAGAAAAAGAAAATGAAGCTGCTTACCTTGCAGGATGCCCTGAAGAAGATGCGAGAAAAGACTTCACAAATCATTGCATCTGTGTTAGAGGAAAAGGTACACTGTCCCATTAAGTTGTTATAGATTCATTACTAATAGCTTCTTAATTATTTCAGCTGAAACTTCTTCCAAAAAAGCAACGGGCTGCGGTGCAGGCTTGTTTTGACGCTGCCAAACGAAGGTCCTTGCGCGGATATAACTACAATAAAGAATGGCTCCTTGAGTGCATCATCCTCAGAATGAAAAGTGCACGACTGTATGAGCATCTTAGAGCACACAGAATTCTTGTCCTGCCAAGCCGTGCTTGCCTTCAAAAATACATCAAGGTATGTGATTGCATATGGTGTGCAGTATAGAGATGGTTCCTAATGTTTTTATCTACAGGGATTCGCTGCTGCTTATGGGTTTAATACCAAACTCCTGAGCTGTCTGAAGAAAAAAGTTAAAGACATGGATGAAATGGAGAGGCATGGGGGCATAGTAGTGGATGAAATGAAACTCTCTGCTCATCTGGACTTGCAGTCGTCCAGCAATATTGAAGGCTTTGTCGACCTCGGCAAGTTTACCGATGCCAATGAAAGACACCGCAAAGCTGACCATGGGCTTGTCATAATGTTCCAACCATTTGTGGGGAAATGGACACAAATCATTGGTAATATATTTTTTGCACTGTTAAGGCACATATGCCGAAGCGTTTTGTAATGCTCTATTTCTCTTCAGGTGTGTTTTCATCCAGCGGGAACGTAAAAGCCAGGCTGTTGACAAAACTTTTGGTAGAAGCTACAATTTTGTGTGAGCAAGCCGGCCTCTACGTGGATTACATTTGCTGTGATGGTGCGCCCTGGAACAGATCTATGTGGAACATCCTGGGGATACGCGCCACCCTCAATGACATTCAGTGCAGAGTTGTTCATCCGTGCAACAAACACCGATTTTTGTACTTTATATCGGACTTCCCTCACCTCATGAAGTGCGTGAGAAACACAATGATGAAGCAGGGCTTCAACACCCACAACGGAAGGGCAAGTTGGCTCTAATATTTCTGTGGAATTTTTATGCATAATGCGTACTTCTCAATGCTAATTTGAATCCTTAACAGTTCCTGATGCAATGTGGAAATTTTACAGGCCCACTGGGATCATGTGTCAACCATGTGGAAACTTGACAGCAGTGCCATCACCTTGAAAGTGGCACCAAAGCTGACTCGATCACATATCTTTCCAAATGGATTCGAGAAAATGCGTGTGGACTTAACATTTCATGTTTTCAGTGCCCAAGTGACTCGGTGCTTAGATTTTTACAAAGATCAGATCGAGGAGCAATACACAAATGTTGAGCCAACAAGACTCGTTATTGGTCTCATGGCGGAACTAATCGAGGTGATGACATCCAGGTTTCCAGCAGAAGCTTTACGGTAAGAGTGAAATATTTACCCTGTCGATAATTAGTCCAGACAAAGTTTCTACGCTTCATACATAAACATTATTTCAGGCTTCACAGCCGAAAGGAAGCTGTGCTTGACCAGGCACTAAAGTTCCTCGATTTGTGGGAAGCTCACGCAAGAGGACTTGGCTTTCTAAGCAAAAGTACCGCAGTGGGTTTGCGTGTGACGTTGAAAAGTACGAAGCACCTCCTGGAGTACCTGTGTGAGGAAGTACATTTCAAGTATCTCATGACGGCTCGCCTAAGCCAAGACTGCCTTGAGCGCTGTTTCGGAATCGTGCGGCAGGCAGGTGGTGGCAATGATCACCCAACCCCTGCACAGTTTGTTGTTATCACGAGGTATTTTATTATCAAATTTTACGCCTTATGTTGCATGTCGTATAAACTTGTTACGCATCTGATTATGTTTGACTGCTGTTGTGAGTAAAATATGCATTGTTTATTTATAGATGCCTCAGCTTCTATAGCCTGGCAAAGAGTCCGAAGGGTGGCAATGTAGCTGACGGAGTGGTGGAATCTCTTCTCTCTCTGGAAGAAATGCTGCACGAGGTGGAAGATCACAACGAAGACAACGAAAGACTTTCATCTGACGTGCTAGAAGTGTCTGTAGATCATGCGTCATACACTGTTGAGCGAAGTGACGCCCGCCTTGTGTATTATGTCGCAGGTTATGTCGCAAGAAAGCGTGTACTTCGTAGTAATTGTGATGATTGCAAGAACGCCTGCCTTGCTTCTAAAGAAAATGTGCCAGGAAATCTCCCAGCCCAGGCAAGCAAGCTGTGGGATCTCGGAGGACTTTTGTATCCGTCGAATTCCTTCTATAACCTGATATTATCCCTTGAGAACAAAATCACTCGCTTCTTGAGCACATCACGTCTTCATGCCAAATCGGCCGTTGAGATGATGAAGGGGATAGGCGAGACGCAACAAATTGGTTGCGCAAAGCATGCTGCTTTTTTGACGAAAAGTGTGGTGCGATTTTATTGCCTCACTCGTGTCCACTTTTTTTTGAAAGGGATGAACCAAAAGGAAGACGAAAAGAAAGGGCGGAGAGTAAAGCCATGCGTACTCTAGTGGCAGTGCATGAATGGCATGCGTGGAAATAAAGTTGTGTTTTTGTGAAAAAGTGTCTGCTAAATTTATGCTGCTGGGAACAATTCTCAAGTCACACGCTTAGCGGTATAGGTAAATTTTGGCGCTCTTAATGCGTGACTCATCTGAGTTAATGTATACATTAACTCAGATGAGTTTTAGCTGCCTATAGGCAGCTAAAACTGCTTCGTTTTTCTGCGGCGAGCAGCGCGCTGCGGCGAGCAGCGCGCGCTCATTCGTACATCGCCTGCGAAAGGCTACCCGCGCCGGTGCGTGCAGCGCCCCAAGCGGCATCGGCGCGCCTTGGGGA